CTCCAGAGAGAGAGATATCATTTACCCCTGTACAAATCATTAGTAAGACCTCATCTGGAATATGCAGTTCAGTTTTGGGCACCGATTCACAGAAAGAACTTTGGGGAACTGGAGAAAGTACAGAGAAGGGCAACTAAACTGATAAGAGGCATGGAGGAGATCAGCTATGAGGAAAGATGAGAGGTACTGAATGTATTCTCGCTTGAGAAGAGATTAAGGGGGGAATATGATCAACATGTATAAATACATCAGTGGTTCATATAGTGGAACTTGGTGTAGAGCTATTCACCCTGAGGTCGTCACAGAGGACAAGGGGGCACTCTTCATGTCTGGAGGAAAATAAATTTAATTTCCAAAGACGGAAAGGTTTCTTCACAGTGAGAGCTGTGAAAATGGGGAATAGACTCCCTCAAGAGTTGGTTCTGGCCAGCTCAGTGGATTGCTTCAAAAAAGGCCTGGATTATTTCTTAGATACACAGAATATAACTGGATACTAACATTTACAGGTAAAGTTGATCCAGGGAATTTTCGATTGCCTCTCGGGGGATCAGAAAGGAATGTTTTTTCCCAGCAGGAGCAAATTGGATCATGCTTTGGTTTTTTTTTTTGCCTTCCTCTGGATCAACTGTGGGTATAGGATTTTTTTTTTTCCTCTCTATGGTTGAACTGGATAGACTTTTGTCTTTTTTCAGCCAGACTAACTATGTAACTATGTCAAGTAAGGGCAGATGAATATACTTCCTGGAATCTGCAATCTATCTGCCTTAGCTAAGAGAGCCCCTCTTTCCCTTTTGAAGACCCATGAGAAGTATGCCATCATTTGCCTAGGCATAGAAACCAGGAAATAACAGGAAAAAAAAAAACAAAAAAAAAAAACTTTAAAAACACGTAAATATTATATACTTTTCTATTTACTAATGCTAGCAGCATAAGGATTAAAATAGTCAATAATGACTAAGAGTTAAGTTCTGCTTTAAGTGTCTTTTGTGCAGACATTTCACTTTTTCCAGTAACCTCTCTAACAAGGTTGTCCAAAGCACAGCCAAAAAAACAACCTGCCTCAAATGGCAAGCGTATTAAGGAATCTTGTATGCAGGTTTTAAGCTATAGCAGACCAGGTCTTAAGCTATAAATTTCTACACGTGGATAGAAATCAAAGCCAATCTGGAAATTGTTTGTGTGAGAACTGCTTGTAAAGAGTCAACACAGTGAAGTAGAAGAGGAGGTAACTGCTGAAGGTGCTCAAATACAGTAGGATACTGAAAAACACGATTGCATTGTTTTAAGGTCAAGCAGCTGCTGTATGACAGAGAAGCAGCGATTGCTGGCTGAAGAGCTGGACCTGCCAGCCCATAAAGAGCACACAAGCATTTCAAAAATGGTTTATGTATAGGTTCCTTAACTGTAAAGATACCTTTTGGTTAAATAGTGAGATGCTTATTCAAAGATAAGATGCTGGATCCACTATCAGTATTACCTATTTCACAGTAAACTCAGTAAGGTTGCTATAAGATAGTTTTCTGATTTTTTGAGGCGTATAAATCTTTCCTGAATGGCACCAATCTTCCTATTTGTTGAACTGTCAACAGGACGAACGTTTTAAGATTTTGCAAGTCTCCCTATTCTAAAGGGGTATGTGAAGATGAATAAGCTGCCTGTTTTGTGCCAGATATATAAGCTGCTTCAAATGCAAGGTCAGCTATAAAGTGTTCCTGCTCCAGTGCCATTAGACTTCGCTTTTCTCACAGCTGCCTTATTCTTGGATTCCACCATATTGCTACAAGTTAGGTACTCATGAAGTGGGTGAAGCATACAGGGTAAGTGTGTCCCAAAATGCTGTGATCCGGTTGTGAACTGTCCAGTACCAAAAACTTCTTTGTGGAAAGAGGGCAGGAGGAGTGCCTTCGTGCCTTATCAAGGTTGTAGGTGGGAAGGCAGTAAAGCATATAACCAGTGGTATGATGCAATACATGGTCATCCACCTGCGTCTAGACCAGCAATGGGCAAACTACGGCCCGGGGCCGTATACGGCCCAGCGTACCTTTTAATCCGGCCCGCGGAGCGTGATACAAAAAAAAAAAAAAACCAGCCAGGGCAGGCAAACATTTGCATCATTCAGCGCGCTCAAATGCAATGATTGGCCAGTCTCGCTGCCACTCACATCCTGATAGCCAGTGATTGGCTGTCAGGATGTGTGTAGGCGGGGCAGCGTGACGAACGTGAGGGGAGGTAGGCTCCTCTCACAGTCCGCCCTGAAGACCGGAATGGCGCGGGAACAAGGCGAGAGGAACGCGCGGAGCAAAGGTAAGTAAATTGACGCAGGGGGGACTTGGCTTACTACTTGGGGGGGGGAATAGTACTATGGGGGATGAAATGTTACAAATTTTAATTTAATTTCTATTAATTCACACATACACATCATTCATCTACTCTTGGTCCGGCCCCGGGTCCAATATATGAACCCATTGCGGCCCTCAAGTCAAAACGTTTGCCCACCCCTGGTCTAGACTCTAATCTAGATGATTACTTTTAAGCACTCGTTTCGAAAAACATTTACACAGATGTGAAATACATTCCAAACATGTAATTTATGGCAGTAATGGTCAGAACACAGGGCAAACCTTACCTGTCTATGCCACTTGTCCCTGTAAAGGGTCCAGCCTTTACCTATCACAGTTGGCAAAGCTATGAATGGGTGTTCAGGAACTGGCTTCCATTCTGATGGATCAGGATTAACACACTGTGGCTAACTACAAAAAACTGCACTAAGTGCCAAGGTAAGGGAGCCCGATGCAATAGGCCGTCCCCACAGTGTGGGGTCTGGGTTACAGTTCACAAAGTTGTACAGAGAGTGCACTGATCCAGATGCACTGGTTTCTAAAATACTATCTAAAAGAGTGAAGTTGATGGAAAATTCTGATAGAGGAATAATAAAGTTATGAGTGATTTCTTTGTAAGAGAAAAAGAGGTCATCGCCTTTGGACACTAGCAAAAAAAAAAAGGGGGGGGGTTTACAGTGAGAGGGAGGGTTATAAAGGAGGTGCCCTGGGGAAGCATATCCAAAAGAGTTTTGCCAGTGACCAATAACCCAAAATGTGAATGTTATGCCTGTGTCCTGCACTGTACAATTAAGATAAAAAGATCTTAAATCAAATCTCTAAAGGCTTTTTTCCTTAACTTACATTTTTACAGATTTCTCAAGATTTGGGTAAAAGGGTCTGATGCTTTGCACAGGAGAGCAGGAACAATTATGGATCCCAAAAGTGCTTGGTGCAGGACTTTAACCATTTGTCTACCAGGGCAATTGACATTTACATATACAATCAGCATCTGTTTGCAATAAAATTACTTAAAAAGCCCAAACATTATGTATTTTCTTAAAACAAAGACCTTAGAGAATAAACTGGTGGCTGTTGTATCTTTTAGTTGGCATATTTGAGCAGCCATTTATAAAAACAAATATAAAAACACACTTATTTTGTGTTGGTATTTTGTTTTTATGCTTCATTGTGTTTATATGAAAATCTTTAATTCAGATTGAATTAAAAAAAAAAAAAAAAAAATTTTAGTGCACACAAATAAATCCAACCTATAAACACTATTACATCAAATTAAAGGAAATCATATCATTTACCCTGTAAACAAAAATGACTGCATGTAAAAGGTCAGAAAAAGCTGACCCCACATAAGAACACATATGGATAAATTAAAAGGCCGATCAATGTGAAACCGTTATAAAAAGAAGAGAAGAAAAAAAAAAGGTGAAAAAGGAAAAATATTTCTAGAAGAGAAGACCGAGACGGGGGTAAAAAGCAATGGGGGTAAAAAGCAATAGGGAAAAAAAAAGGAAAATAAAAATTGCAACAGCCACCAATTTATGTTGCATATTTACACAGCAGTTTATAAACCACACATTTTCAAGAGAAAAAAAATACACTAATACACTTGTATTTATTGAATTTATCACCCAATTTTTAGTAAAATATAGGTGATGATGTGTTGAGTAAATCGATGCCAATCACGTCAAAATTTAAAATTGCACAAGCCTTTGTAATGGCATCAAACTACAGAACCTAAAAGTATCCATAGACAATGCTTTAAAAGCTTTTACAGGTTGCCAGTTTAGAGTTAAACATGAGCTCTGTTATTAGAATTATTGCTCTCACTCTAATGTTCAGGGTACAAACACTGTTTACATATCCATGCCAGATGTGTGTACTTGCATTTCCGCATAAGCACTGGGAGATTAGGTGGGGTTTTTTTTTTTTCACTTTTTAATTACCTGTAACAGTACTTTTATATAGAGATCTGGAGGCTATTAGACCCCTGATACCTTCCTCTGCCCTTCAAAGCATTGGATTAAACACAGATCGGTTTGATCAGATGCTTCCTTGGCCATAATAAAACTATTTGAAAGTGTCAAACCCCTCATCGCTTCAGGCTATATGCTGGGCAGCAATTGGGTTAGAGGCTTGTACCCCATAGTTGACAGTCTTTGAGACTAAACTTGACCTGATACCTGAATAATAAATATTGTCATCTTCTTTCATATGTTTCAGTTGGAAGTCCACAACTTTCTTTACAGGTTAAAATTCAGCTTCCTTTATGTAGGCAACAAGAACCATGACTGTCCTCCTAAAGATAATTATGCTTGGCTGCCATGTTGTTCTTCTGACTTCAATCCAATCAACATGCATGTCACAAGTGAAGCGAAAACTGCTGACCTCTCCCCTTCCATCCCTCCCCTTTGGTTAACCCCCCCCCTCCCCCTTCCTTTCTCTTCACTCCCCCCCCCCCCCCCTTTCTTACCATTTCTTATTCCCATTATACGTTACAGTATATATAAAGAAGGAATCAGACTGCTGACCAGGGTCAGCATCTCTAAGTAGTGAAGCCACTATATCAGTGAAATCTTTTAAGTGGAGATAATCAATGACCGCTTTGATATTTCTCTCTATACGGGTTTCCCTTATAGATATTTTACATTAAACATTACTCACCCGACTCCTGCAAGTATCGGTACACCAGAAAGTTAACCTCATCACTGCTTATACTCATCTTTATGCCCACTTAAACCATGAGTTCCAAGCAAACTGCAGTTATTCCCTAAAAAAAGTGAACAAAAATATGTTATATTTTTAATTAATATTTCTAATATGTAAAGTGAAGTAATGATGTTATTACACTCCTGTAAATTAGGCACCGCGCACAGGAAAGAAAAAAAATCATTAACCCAGTTTTAAATATCAAGCTTTCTTCCCAGAAAATAAGTGAAAAGTATGGATCACACACAAGACACTTCCAAAACAGGTGTAAGGAGGCATACGTTTGAAAAAATGCTGCAGTTACAACACCAATTCCAAAAAAATATAGGAAGCAGTGTATATCTACATAAAAACAGAATTGCAAATCTCATAAACACATATTTTATGCACAACAGAAAATGTAACCAAATGTTTAATCACTTGCCTACCAGGCCAGTTCTGACACTTCTCTCCTACATGTAAAAATCAGTTTCATCTTGCTAGAAAAGAGAGTGTGTGTGTGAGTGTAAGAAATTTTAATGCTCAAAAAACACAATATAATACCCAATTGTTTGATAAAATATAAGAAATGATGTTACGCCAAGTAAATGGATACCTAAAATAGCATGCTTTAAAATTGTGCACGCTTGTGGAATGGTGACATACTACGGTACTTAAAAATTTCCATAAGCGACGCTTTAAAAGCTTTTACTGATTACCACAGGAGGTCTGGTGCTAAAATTATTGCTCTTACTAGAATATTCAAAGCGATGCCTCACGTGTGGCATGAAAGGCTGTCGGAAACTGTAGTTTTCATTTCACAGAACTCTGTGAATGGATACCGTGGCCGGCAGGCAGAGGGACCTAAACAGCCACTTTTTTTTTTTTTTTAAATTGTGACAGCTAGCAGGGGAAGAAGATCCCCCAATAGCTGGCAAAAAAAGAGAGGTGGGGGCCAGTCCATTCATAACATGTTACACGCTAAAATGAAAGGTGAACTTATCCTTTAATTGAACAAGCTGAGGTTAGAAGCTCATCAGCTATGATGCAGCGCTGCACCAGATTTTGTACTCTCCAGTTTTAATAAATCAACCCCAGAGCATCTCAAAAGTGAAGGTGTGCAGAGGTTCATCAATCTGTGAAAAGCTGCATCTAAAAATTGTCAAACAACTTCTGTATAATATTCAACGTAAAATTACAAAAACCTAAAATATATCATCTACCGAATATATTTTCTCAGTTTATACATTTGATATGTTTCCTATTGAGAATATAATAAGGGTTTATGAGATTTTCTAATCATTGAAATTTATATGTGTTTCACACAGTGTGCCAATTTTTTTTGGAACTGGGGGTTGTACGTACAAACAGTCCACACACATTAAGAAACTTCATATTTTGGTTATGAATATACATGTTCAGTCTATAGTAATTTACAGAACGCTCTATAAATGCATGTCTTTATTAGAACTTTATTGTATGTATTGCGCAAATAAAGCACTTTCGTGAGTGGTAGATATTAACAAACGGATATACTGTATAGTTTAGGAAATATATTTTTTTTGCCAATACATTGATTATATGTTGATAAAATGACACATCTATTTAATAACAATGTTAAATACATTATACAAACACTGTTTATGACTGCTAGCAGCTGACACAGTGATTGTTTTTTTTAATTGTATACACTACTAATCAAAAATTTTAGAACACTTTACAATGTGGTTTAGGTTGCTTTAGTTTCATCCCGTCCACTGTTTATGTGATAGTTTTTCATATGAGGCTCCTGAGGTTCACAGGTAGATCGCATCTCCCACAAGCAGAGGGGCACTGGCAAACAAAATTTCTCCACTGTTTCCCGCCGACCCCACCACTCCTGTTTATCCTAGGTGCTTGTACATTACATTACCTAGAATGTACTGGAAGGGAGGAGAGGCTGGCGGTGAACAGTGCACCACAAGATGAAAGATCTCAGCTGCTCTTCTGCCATGCTATGCATAGGAAACTGGTAGAAACCAGTACTGTAATGTGTCATGCTCTTGTTGTGTGACCCATGTTATGTGCCCCATAATCTGCCCTGCTGAGCATCCCATAATGTGCCCCGCTCCCACATAATGTGGAAAAGCAAGCACAAGTTGCATATTAAATAGGTACGTTTTAATATTGATTCCATTATTTAATAACATATAGTATGCTGCTCAAAACAATTAAAGGAACACTTTTTAATCAGAGTAAAGCATCAAGTCAATTAAACTCCTGGGATATTGATCTGGTCAGTTAAATAGCAGAGGGGGTTGTAAATCAGTTTCAGCTGTTGTGGTGTTAATAAAATTAACAGAAGCACTAGATGGGCAACAGCGAGACGTCCCCTAAAACAGGAATGGTTTTACAGGTGGAGGCCACTGACATCTTTTTCCCTACTCCTCTTTTCTGACTGTTTTTCACTAGTTTTGCACTTGGCTATGGTCAGTGCCACTACTGATAGCATGAGGCGATACCTGGACCCTACAGAGGTTGTACAGGCAGTCCAACGCCTCCAGGATGGCACTTCAATAAGTGCCATTGCCAGAATGTTTGCTGCGTCTCCCAGCACAGTCTCAAGAGCATGGAGGAGATTCCAGGAGACAGGCAGTTACTCTAGGAGAGCTGGACAGGGCCGTAGAAGGTCCTTAAACCCATCAGCATGACCTGTATCTGCTCCTTTGTGCAAGGAGGAACAGGATGAGCACTGCCAGAGCCCTACAAAATGACCTCCAGCAGGCCACTGGTGTGAATGTCTCTAATCAATCAGAAACGGACTTCATGAGGGTGGCCTGAGGGCCCGACATCCTTTAGTGGGCCCTGTGCGCACTGCCTGGCACCATACAGCTCAACTGGCATTTGCCATCGAACACTAGAATTGGCAGGTCCACCACTATCGCCATGTGCTTTTCATAGATAAGGCAGGTTTACCCTGAGAACGTGTGACAGCCGTGAAAGGGTCTGGAGAAGCCGCGTAACATCGTTCAGCATGAACATTTTGGTGGTGGGTCAGTGATGGTCTGGGGAGGGCATATCCATGGAGGGATGCACAGACCTCTACAGGCTAGACCAGGGGTGGGCAAACTTTTTGACTTGAGGGCCGCAATGGGTTCATATATTGGACCCGGGGGCCGGACCAAGAGTAGATGAATGATGTGTATGTGTCATCCATAGTAAGTATAGTAATATTCCCCTATAGTAAGCATAGTAATTCATCCCCCATATAGTAATTCATCCCCCCTATAGTAATTCATCCCCCATATTAAGTCCCCAAGTCCCCCCTGTGTCAATTCACTTACCTTTGCTCCGCGCGTTCCTCTCACCGTTCCGGTGTAGCATGAAAATCTGTCTCCTATGAGGATCTGTCCCCCTCGACGTATCTGCGCATGTGCCAGTGTCACGCATTAGCAGCCGATCGGCGATCTCCGGCACATGCGCAGATAGGTCGAGGGGGACAGATCCTCATAGGAGACAGATCTTCATACTACACCGGTCTTCAGAGCGAACTGTGAGAGGAGCCTAGCGGGAGCCTAGCTCCGCGGGCCAGATTAAAAGGTCCGCCGGGCCGTATACGGCCCGCGGGCCGTAGTTTGCCCATTGCTGGGCTAGACAATGGCGCCCTGACTGCTATTAGGTATCGAGATGAAATCTATGGACCCATTGTTGGACCCTAAGCTGGTGCAGTGGGTCCTGGGTTCCTCCTGGTGCACGGCAATGCCCGGCCTCATGTGGCGAAAGTATGCAGGCAGTTCCTGGAGAATCAAGGAATTGATATCACTGAATGGCCTCCACGCTCACCTGACCTAAATCCAATAGAACACCTCTGGGATATCGTGTTTTGGGCCATCAGACGATGCCAGGTTGCACCTCAGACTGTCCAGGAACTCAGTGATGCCCTGCTCCAGATCTGGGAGTGAATACTCCAGAACACCATCAGTCGTCTCATTAGGAGCATGCCCAGCTTTCTTTGCCCATGTAGCTGCGGTGGCTCTAGTCGAATGAGCCTTCAATCCAGATGGTGGCATTAGTGTTGTGGTTTTTGTAGCCTTACGAATTGGCTTACCTTAGCCACCTTGCAATGGTGCCCTTGGAGTCCTTCAGAGCCCTTCCTTGGAATAAGATAGAGCCTGGAAGAATTTCTACACTCCTTTTTGCGCGCTCAATATAAGCAATAAGACACCTACTCCCATTGATTTTGTTATAATCCTGTTCTTTGACATTACTCAGATTTCCGCAAAATGACAGAGTTAGGATTTCTTCTGTTCTGTGAAAGTTTGACACGTTTGGTAGGAATGCTGGGTCTAAGTTGAGGATAATGTTATCCAATAGAATTGTGCAGCAAGGCTCCATCACTGACAGTGCTTGAAGTTCGCTGATTCTACGAGCTGAGACCAAGGCAACTAAGAGGATAGGTTTCAGTGTTAAACACTTTCAACAGGACAAATACTCTGTTGAAAGTGTTTAAGACCGTTCCTATGGGTTTTTACGACTGGTGATGACCCTCAAGAATCTGAAGACCAGCAGGTCCTCGGCCAACTTCAACTCCAGAAAATTAGATAAAGCAGCTACTTGCACTTTATATAAAGCAGCTACTTGTACTTTAAGTGTGCTAACTGCTAGAATTCTATCTGCTCCTGCTTGCAAGAATTCGAGGACTGCATTCAGAATAAGCACTTCTAACAAAGCAGTTTTCTACCTTGCAGCAAGTAAATCTTTTCCAAATTTTGTCATAAATGGCATTTGTGGACTTTTTTCATCCATTTAAAATGGTGGAGACCACTTTCTCTGATCATCCTTTCCTGCTCAGAAACCAAGCTGCCAGTAACAGCCTCTGCGGGTGTGGGTGTATTACTTCCCTCTGTGCCAAAAGGTCGTTCTTAGGTGGAAGTATCCAGGGGTTCAACAAACTCAGCTTTCTCAGGAGAGCCACGACCTTTTAGGCCAAAATGGAGCGATTAGGATGTCTTTGGTTTGATACATCTGTATCTTCTGCTAAACTCTTGGGATCAA